TGTTCGTCAGGGGCCGGAGGAGAGCCCGGCAGCATACTTAGAGAGGATCATGGAGGCCTTCTGGCAGTACACCCCCATAGATCCCACTATGGAAGACAGCAAGCCGCTGTTATGATGGCGTTTGTTAATCAGGCAGCCCCAGACATCAGGCGCAAGGTGCAGAGAATAGATAGATTAGGCGAGAAGACTCTGCAGGACCTGTTAAAAGTGGCAGAAAAGGTCTATAACAATAGAGAAACGCCAAAAGAGAGGTTAGAGAGGATCGGGATAGAAGATAGGAAATTCCAAGCTAGAGAGGCACGTAAAGCAAACAGAGAAATGGCTAAAATCCTGCTAGCCACCACAAGAGGGGGGCAAATAAGGTCAGAAAAAAAAAAAAAAGAGAAGAAGGCCCCGGTGGAAGAGGGTAGGCAAGGATCAATGTGCCAATTGCAAGGAGCATGGGCAATGGGCCCGAGAGTGCCCCCAAAAGAAAGGGGGGCGAAGACTTGGAGGTCCTGAAAAAGTCATGGTTGCAGGACAGGTGACAGATGAATAGGGAAGACGGGGTTCAGTCCCCCTCCCCGAACCTAGGGTAACTTTGCAAGTAGAGGGGAACCCAGTCAGCTTCCTCATAAATACAGGAGCTGCATACGCTATGCAGTGGCTGATCACGCGTGGTCATGCATTGACCTTTAACATGATTGGTGGCTGGCAGCCCCACTATACAGGGGTTCTGAACAATGCAAAGTTGCGCAAACAAGGAAGCAAGCAACGGTTTCCATGGCAAGCAAGCAACAGTTTCCAGAAGCCGGATGTTAGTTCCGGCTTCACTGGGTGTGGGCCTTGCAGGTGTGCAATGTCTCGAACCCCTCACATGTCTCCCTTTCTTTAGAAAGCTGTCGAGCACTCTTGCTCATCTTCTTGGCGTCTGTCTAAAGGTTCCAAGTCTGGTGCTACCTGACCTAGAGCTTCTGATACTGCGCTGCAAACACTAAAAGCGTACTGTATTACCCTTTTTTTAAGGTTATTGATTTTGTTTAATATGCAGGGTCCGAATGTCAAACGCACTAAGAGCAAATTCTAGTGGTCCTATAGCCGTTGAGTAGGTAGTAGCCAAGGGGAGCTGCTTAAACAAGATTCAAACCAACCGCCTGCCAGCTCGTTTCCTGCTTGCGGCGGAACGCTCTTCTCTAACTTTAGCCCATGAACTTCCCCTGATGATCCGTGTGGTCTGCATAGAAACCAGCACTCTTCTCGGAGCGGCAGCACATAGTCCCCCCTGTTGAAGGACACTAGATCTAGCCCCTCCGATTTTGAAGTACTTACTTTGGACAGGGAGCGTCAGAGACTTTTCAGATGGGAAATCTCTTTATTCTTGCAATGTCTTTATTTAATGGCTGCTCTCAATGCTAACCCTTCTCCTGTTGCATCGCTGCAGGGAGGAGATAACCAGCCACTGCGTCCAATTGCCCCCCCAAGCCAAAAGTGTGCCAGGGTAATGGCCTGCAAAGGCGGTTCTCTTCTGGAAATTAGGTTAGTGACCCTTGGCCTGCCTGCTCGGGTTACCATGCTCTACTTTGGTACATATTATTTTAGGAACACTAACACATAACACAGTATTTTCTAGATTTCATTAAAACTCTCAGGGCGGGCCGCGGTGCTCACGCCTGTAATCCTAGCACTCTGGGAGGCCGAGGCGGGCGGATTGTCGAGGTCAGGAGTTCGAAACCAGCCTGAGCAGAGCGAGACCCGTCTCTACTATAAAAAGAAAGAAATTAATTGGCCAACTAATATTATATATAAAAATTAGCCGGCATGGGCTGGCCATGCCTGTATCCCCAGCTACTCGGGAGGCTGAGGCAGGAAGGGATTCCTTGAGCCCAGGAGTTTGAGGTTGCTGGAGCTAGCTGACGCAACGGCACTCACTACGTAAGCCTGGCACACAAGCGAAACTACTGCTCAAAAAAAAAAAAAAACAAAAATGATAGGCTAAGGCAAGGGGTTTAAACCGGTTTGGAGCCAATCCACCATCCACTTGGCCCGGAAATGACCCATTTTTCTTTTCCTGATGATTTATTACTTCTGTTACCCCGCACAGAGCTGTGCTGCTGGTGGGCACTTTCCCAGGCAGGTCCTTGCCCAAGAAACCGACTGAAAAGTGAGTACCAGGGCCTTTATGGTCCCCATTGACATGAACCCTAGGGGAGCTTCTGTGGAAGAGCGTTGGAAATTGACGGCATCTCCCACTGCTTTCGTAGAAGGGAGGCCCTATGTCACAACACAGCCAACAGGCTCGGTAGCGTTGGGATTCGGACGATTTTTAAGGCCTAGTATGCAACTGTCAACATCTTCCACACGAGGATCTCCTAAGTTCTATTTCAGGCAGCCGCGCTTAGGGGCTCCCTAGGTTGAGTGAAGTTGTCCTTAACTTTAATCAACCTGTTTTTGGGGTGGCGCCCGTGGGCCCGGCCGTGGTGCAGCGCCTGGTTTGGGCCACTGCACGGGGAGCTGGGGAAAACACTTAAGTTTGATAGCTATTAAAGAGCAGAGGTACGGCCTCCTCGATAGAGGCAATACTCCCATGGGAGTCCTGGTTACCCATCGCTTGTCTTTCTTCCTTCTTTTGTGATTTGTTATTCTCAACTAGGTTCAGGCAGTTCCGCTGCTATCTCTCTTCTTGTGCAGGGTTGGACTAGGACATTTCCAATGAGGAAAAGGTTGGGACTGCCATTTTCATTCCCCCGTCATTTGTGGTGACACAACCACTTGGCACAATAAAGGTCTTAACAATTCCCCACACGGCGGTTCTCTTTCGCAGGCCGGAATCTGGGCATGCAAAGACAACCTGCCTCTGCTTCATGCCATAATTCCTTCGCTGATAGTATATAGGGCACCACCGATCTACCGGACTGCGAGACCGACCGCGAATTGGGGGCCTACCAGGGCGCCGCCCCTTGGAGGCACACTCCACGTGATGGGGCTTATTTCTTCCCTAGGTTAAACCATAAGGTCGGCCACCATCCGTTACGGGCCTAC